ATAAAATATAATGAAATGCTTTGTCCTTTCTCACAGTTACATTTTCTGCCAGTCTCAATGTGGCTTTTTCATATCCTCAGTTTCAGGACTTCTGTTCAGCTAGATTTCAGGCGGTTCCAAATGGTGGTGGTTCTGTCCTTCAGTTGTCATTTCGATGTGGTTGTGAGAGGTTCCAAGTACCAGGGTTACCCGCACGCCGTCCCGACTGGACCTCCCCGTTGTGTTCCTACAGTTCAGACACCAGCCCTTTCTGCATGTCCACAGGTCCCTTCTTCTGTGGTTTTCGGTTCACTGCCAGAATCCCCGTCTCACCTATTTATCTCTTTGAACATAACTAACAGTTACTTTGATGTCTCAGCCAGCTCCCACGCAGAGACCCCGCAGTCTGTCCGTGTTCCCGCCATCCCTGCTGGTCTGTGCTCATGTGGTCTTGTCTGCGCCTGGTTATTTCTCATCCTGTGCTGTGCATCGTGATTGCAGGCTTATTTGTAGAATCGTTTAAAGCCTAGGATGATGACACTGGTCACCAGAGAGGATCTATGTCCACTTCTGCCCAACATCTAGGGCTGCTGGCCACGTACAGTCACCTCGGTCTGGCACCAGGTGCTGAGGTTGTTCAGCACTGAGCTGCCTGCGCCCTGTGTGCCCTTGTTCTCTGCCTGTCACTCTGTGTTGTCCCCCTTCATACCGAGGGTACCTGACCAAGCTCTCTCCCCTTGGAAGACCCTGGGTCTCAGCCTCCAGGCCTCTAGCCTTGCAAGGCTAATAGGGACATCGCTCCGCCTCTCAGCCAATTCTCCCCTCACGAAAAGTAACCTCGAAAGCCAGGCTCTGGACTCCATCCTCCCCAGACTCCGACTGGAAATTCTTCGCCATCGTAACAGCCCTCCAGTGCCTTTAAGCAGGTGTTTCTCTGTTCTGTCCAGCTTACCTGGGTGCCCTCAGCAGGAGCCTGCCCATATTAGCCGACCACTGTTGTGCAAGCTGAAGTCTGCAGATAATGATTTTGTCTCAAGTCCAGATGGCTTAGGAGGAGGCCGTGAATGTAAATCATCCTGATCGTAGAGCCACAGGATGACAAACTGGGACCAGTTCTCAGCTTCTAGAATGGCCCTGGTGTGTTCTGGCCAAAGAAGCTAAGACCCCAGTTGGGGCAGACCCAGGCCCCGGTGTCCAGACACGCCCTGCGCGCCCCATCTCCAGGGACCACGTCTGCATCCGTCCTGAGGAGTGGGGCCCTGGGGAGGGGACCTCTGTCTCCCCAATACTTCCAGGACAGTTTTGCAGCTCAGGCCCACCAGAGGCTAAAACGCATCTAAGGGCATCCAGAAATGACATGGAAGTGACTCAGGAGTGACTGTCACCACGGACTCTCGGAACTCATAGCAGAGCTGAAGGGAATCTAATCTCATGTTATGGCTCAGATGGGGCAGGGATTTCCACGCTTTAAGTCAGACAACATGAAAATGGACTCTCAATTTCCGGCTCTCCCACGAACTTCATCCACTCTTATTTTTAATATGACACCTTCAAACGCTGCCCAGGTCTCCCCTGAGCCAGGTCCGCTTCATGACACCCTGGCCCCCACAGCCGCTGGGCAGGAGAGGGGAGTGGTCATCATGGCGAAGCAAAGCCCCTTGAGTAGTGGTCCCAGTGGCTTCCCGCAAGCTGGCCCTTCCCCATTCGCTGGACACAGCATCCAGGTCCCATTGTCTTTTGTTCTGTCCCTGCAGCAGCTGCATTTCTATTTGGCAGTTGCCACAGGTCTCTGAAAGAGGTCCACTCTGCACAGCTGCGGGCGGGACCTGGTTTGCCAGCAGGGAAGGAGCATTGTCCCATTGAGCATTGCAGTGGAGTTCAGAGAGGGGAGGTAACTTTCCTAAAGCCACACAGCTTTGGGGTCGAGGCAGATTCAGATCTGCTGCTTCCCATGGCAGCTGCACCTTCCACTGCTCTGCTCTTGTCCCTTTCACATGCGTTGTTGGTTGAGTCCAGGGGAAGCTCTGGCCCTGACTTACTTTGTCACAAAGGGTTTGGACATTAAGACAATTAAACCCCTTTTTGAAACAACTTTCAGTATTCACGCAGGACTATTTCAGTTCAAACTGAATAATTTCAGTTCCAAAAAATTTGCCTAAATAAGCCTCTTTTGGCTGCAGATTTTCTAATGATAAAGGAATTCCATAAAAGCCTTAAATTCAGCCCCCAGGGAACACTGAGGGTATCTGGGGACATCTGTGTTTGTCATAGCTGAAGGAGCTACTGGCATTGAGGGGGTGGGGCTAGGGATGTTGCTCCACACTCCACAGTGCTCGGGATGGCCCCTCACAGAGAGTGGCCCATCCCGATGTCAGCAGCGCCCAGGGGAGAAACTGTTCTAAACCAGGTTCTGCCTTCCCCACCGCTCCCGCTGAAGAACGGCCGACTCTCTCCACAGTTTTGTTTAATCCTCTGTGCCCTGGAGCCTCATGTCTTAGCTCAGCTCTCTAGTATTTGGGGGGTGACCAGCCTCCCTTTCATCACAGCTTTGCAATGCTTACGGGAAGTTCAGGCAGGCAGCCTCATCGTCCTTGCAGGAGCCAGATTCAACCTGGTGTGACTTCCAGCCCTTCACTGGGAGGCCAGCCCAGGGCCTGGTGGTGTCTGTCAAGGTTCTATTTTTAGGCTAACCTCACCCCAAGTCTTGTCCTCAAGCTCACCAGGCCTGAACCAGCCTCTCTGCAGAGTCAAGAACGTGACCTCTGCCAGCAACCCTGACCACGTCGCCCCTCCCTGCTGGAGCAGCCTGCTCTGCCCCACCTCCACTCTGCCCCCAGCTTCCCAAGGCCCTACCGGCTTCTGGGCCTTTGCGGGCCCTGCTGAGCCAAGCCAGGTGTCTGCCTCGTCATGTGCCTCCTGTGGAGGGCAGCTGACGAGAAGTGTTCCCCAGGCCGACTCAGCCTGCTGCCTGCTCTGCCGGCCCTGGTCTCATCCCGGAGGGCATGGCTGGTCCATGAGTCAGTGCTGGCTGTGACAACGTCTGGGACAAGGACTTGAGTCTGCTACATGAGCTGTGGTGACACAGCCAGTGTCAGGATCTTGTCGTGTTGGCCCTCACACACGTATACACACATGCTCACACATATCACATGCATAGACACAGTGACATACACATATAAATATATAAGTAATCATGCATGTACACAGATGTGCACACTCACACACCTGTATATACATGGACACACACTCCAGCAGAAGCACATAACACACACGTACACACACATGCTCACACACACACCTCCCCGTCTGGTCTCTGGGCTAGATCGTCACCAGCACAGAGGGAGCCCCTTGCAGCTGCGTGCTCGGGGGAAACACAGCTGGGGTGGCTGCACACGGTGGCTGGGGGTCCTGGAGGGCACACTGGACGCTGAACAGGACTCTCAGCCTCCCAGAGAAAACACGGCCGGGGCCACCGTTTGTTCTCTGTGCCCGTCTATTTTTAGCACTGAGTAATTTAGGTATTTTTGAGCTGAACCAGGGCGGTTTTCCCTGAGTTGGATGTTTTGTGGCCACTTTGAAGCTATCTGCTGAATCAGAGCTCTGGAGCCCGCACGTGGGCCCTGCGCGCCCAGGGCAGACGCCGGGCCTCTTCTGACCCAGGAGGGGGCAGGGCGTCTGCTGGGCTCCAGGAGCAGGCGTATGAAAGGGTTTTTTTTATTACAACTTCTGACAGAGATCACTGTAGATTCACATGCAGTTGTACTAAATCACAGAGAGAGATTCCTCGTGTCCTTCACTCTGTTTTTCCCGACGGCAGTGTTTTGTCCAAGATCCTGGTCAGCAGCGCAGCCGGATGTTGGCGTGACACAGCCGGCCAGCCTCGTTCAGATTCCTGCAGGTCTGCGTGTGTGCATTAAGTCCTACACAAGCTTACCGCCGGGGCAGGCACACGGACCCTCTGCCAGTCAAGACAGGCCCATTTCCAGCCCTGCAGGACCGTCCTGTCGCCCTTGTCCCCCAGCTCCCCACCAGCCCCCACCCCCAGCAACTAGTCTCTAGCAAGCCCTGCCCTGGAGCTTCTGACGTAAATCCCTTCCCTGCGACCACTCCCCCTCCAACCTGCCCCAAAGCCACTCTGCGGCAGGAAGGAGCCAGCACTTCTCGCTCCTGCCCTGACCCCGGCAGCTGGGTGTGAAGGCCCAGGTCACTTGCTAGCTGGTTCCAGACACAGCTGGGCTTCACATGCGGAGTGGACCAGAAGAAAGCGTGGAAGTCTGAACCGGCACCCACATACCACACGACCGTCATTAGCTCGATTCTCAGAGCTCTGCGTGGCTTATGGCAAGACCTTCTCTGTGAGACGTTGAGCGTTTGAGTGAATAAAGGAAGGAGTGAAATAGCTCCAGCCCCCCAGAGAGTGGGTGACAGACCCCGGGTCCACAATGTGTGGTGTGCCCCGGTGAGCTGCCTCGGACAGACCCAGGGAGTCTCCACTGGGGGTGATCTGCCTGCCCCTCAGGGGATATCGAGCTGTGTCTGGTGACAAATGCACTCATTGTAACTGGGGGTGTTTCTGGTGTCACGAGAGGGTGCCGGGGTGCCACTAAATGCTCTACAAGGCCCAGGATGGCCCCACCCCAGAGAGTGACCCAGCGCCACTTCCAGAGGCCCTGGGGCAGGGGACAGAGAAAACTGACTTTTTCCCTGGCAAGTCCCTCATCTGGAGCCAACCAGGAGCCAGTGCTGTGGTTTCATGAACTCTCCTGGGGACCCTTGGTGGTCACAGCCAGCGCCTGGCCATAGGAGGGAACTGTGGGAGAAGAGGGGTCCTCAGCCAGGCCTCCCACCTCTGACCTGAGGACACACAGCATGGCCAGTCTCTGGCGCATGGCTCCAGGGTGGTGGGGTGATGGCCAGAGGGCTCCCAGAAGTGGGGTGGGGGGACGTCCCGCCTCTGCGCCCTGGGCTGCATGCAGTCCTGGGCCTCCCAGGCCGGCTCATGCTGTCTGCTTCTCCCACAGCTCTCTGGACGACAGGGCCCAGAGCTGATGGCAGACAATGTCAGCCACTAACAACATCGCCCAGGCCCGGAAACTGGTGGAGCAGCTCCGCATCGAAGCCGGGATCCAGCGAATCAAGGTGAGCAGGGCAGCAGAGGAAAAGGAAGCGGCTCCCCGCTGGGCAGGACGGGCTGACACTGCAGCTGTGCCTCTCGCTGTGCAACCTCAGGCCACCCACTTACCCTTTCTAAGCCTCAGTTTTCTCAGCAGAAAGACAGGGCTGATGTAGAGCGACTCCTTGGGTTGTGGTGATCCCATGTACCAGAGCGATATATAACTACTGACCTCGCCCCGGCCCTGGGGATCCCGCCCTGGAAGCCCCAGTGAAAGCCATCTCGCGCCACCGAAGGACCAGCGAGAGGCAGGCCCTCTCTCTGCCGTCCCTGCATCCCCCTCATTACAACCCATGCAGAGGGCAGAGACCTGGTCCAGGGGGGGTAGAAACACAGCCTCTCACCGCCTGCTTTCTTCATCTCTGCGCTGTGGGTTTGTTTGTTGTTTTTTTTTTAAATAAGTATGTTTGCTTTTTATGCTAAAAAAAGAAAAAGGACAAGCAGTTTCTGTTCACAGACACTTAACCCATCAGGGGCCAGGAACACGCAAAGCAAAATAAAAGTGCATCATTGTGCCATCAGCTCTGCAGAGATTTTTAAAAAATAATCATTTGGATAACATCCAGTGAACCGTTGATTTGGAAGCACACAGCTCAGTGGCGTTTGGTGCACTCAGTGCTGTGCAGCCGCGGCCCCCGTCTGGTCCGGGGCACTCCATCACCCCAGAAGGACACCCGTCCCCCTTAGCAGCCCCCCAACTCCCCCCAGCCCCTGACAACCACTGACCCACTTCCTGTCTCTGGATCTGCCTGCTCTGGACGTGTCCCACATACGGGATCACACACTGTGTGGCCTTTGTGTCTGGCTCCTCTCCCTGGGTGTCCTGGTTTCAGGGTCCACCCACGTCGTGCTGAGTGTCAGTGTCTTGCTCCTTTTCATGGCCGAGTGCTGTTCTGGGGTGCAGGTGGGCACGTTGTTTTTATGTTGATGAGTTTTAAGTCTGGGAAGGGACATCAGGACAACATCCAGGGCACATGTTTCCTCCTTTCCAAGCTCATGGACCCGTGGCTGGTCACAGCTGCTTGTATGAGAAAGGTGCCTGACACTTTCAAAGGCACCTTCTCACCAAGCCCATGTCCACTTTCCAAAGGATGGTGAGGTACCCCAGAGGTTGTTTTCTGCCCCAGACCTGGGCTTGCAGACAGCCCCATGAGGACCAGGGCAGCTCCAACGAGAAGGCTCCGGTGCGTTAGGCTTCTAGATTATATCTGCTCCAGCTCCCCACTGGGTCGGTCAGGGCTCTCCAGAGAAACAGAACTAGCAGACTGTGCGTACACAGACAGTGAGAGCAAGAGGGAGCAATGTATTTTAAGGAATTGGCTCATGCCGTTATGGGGGCTGGCAAGTCTGAAGTCTGCAGGGCAGGCCAGCAGGCTGAAGGAAGATCCAGGGAGCTCTGGCTGGCGCGGCTCAGTGGATTGAGTGCCAGCCTGCAAACGAAAGGGTTGCCAGTTCGATTCCCAGTCAGGGCACACACCTGGATTTCGAGCCAGGTCTCTAGTAGTAGTAGGGGAGGGAGGTGTGAGATGCAACCACACATTGATGTTTCTCTCCCTCTCTTTCTCCCTCCCTTCCCCTCTCTCTAAAAATAAATAAAGTGTTTAAAGAAAAAGACCCAGGGAAAAGTCAGTGTTGCAACTCGAGTCCCAAGACCACCTGGAGGCAGAATTCTGTCTTCTCTGCAGGGAGCTCAGTCTGTTCTCTTACGGCCTTCCACCGATAAGACGCAGCCCACCTGCATTACAGAGGCTAATTCATGCTGGGCAAGGCCGGCCGATGCAATCGTTAATACTATCTAGACAGTATCTTCCTGGAGGCGTGGAGAGCAGCTTCATATGAAGTGTCTGGGCGCCGGCCTAGCCAGGCAGAAACACAGGACTGGCTGTCGGCTGTGCATTTGCCCAGACTCGCCTTCCTGAGCACCTGTCACGGCCCAGGCACTGATGGTCCCAGGGACTCATTAGGGCAGGGTGGCCTGGCCAGGCCCAGGTAGACTCACACTGGTGGCCAGGCAGTGGGAGAGAGGGAGATGGTTTTGCTAGACCCCTGGGCCTCCACCAGCCAGTGAGGGTTGGGGAGGGCTGCTGGGGGGGGGGGGGCAGTGCCTCCCAGGAGGTGGCTGAATGTTCCAGAACTCTGCACATTCAAAGCATTCCTTCAGGCTGAAGAAAGAGAAGGGCCCGGTTGAAGTGGTTTTACTTTGTGAGCGGTGCCAGCTCCCAGCCCTGGCGGAGCCGTGATTCATCCCACCCGTTTGATGTTCGGAGCAGCCCCGGCCTCGGAGGGGAGTCAGGACGTGACCCACTCTCCCTGCAGTCCCGCCTGAGGTTTTGCGTCCCCGCAAAGCGGCGATCAGAGCCACAGAGCATCAGCCTGCCTGAAAGGCTCACCCGGCCGTGGCCTGGCAGATGAGAGGTGCCCCACGGCCTGGATGTGTGGCAGTGCCGTGGCCTTGGCACTGTGGGCAGAGCCTTCCTGTCAACGCCAGGGATGGGCCGGGGTGGGGGGCACAAGCTGGAGCCACAGCATCGGCTATTTCAGGGCCCGGTGACTATTTTTGTCATCTGGGAGGAGTACTTTCCAAATAGGACTCTAGAAACCAAGCTCCATCTGCTCATCAAAGGCAGCGATCCCACCAGCGGCTGGCATGCTCGCGACAGTGGCAATTGTCGCTGTCTGAGGGCAGGAGCGTCCCCCGACACAGGGCAGGATTGGGGTGTCCTTGGTGTTCTGGCGTGCAGCGTTGCAGACACTGCCGAGGCGTCACAGAGCACGGTGTCTCTCGCCCCTCCTCCTCCGACCGCCAGCAGCCCCACGCAGCTCTCGCCGCCCTCCAGCCTCACAGGGCAGGACGCAGGGGCTGAGAAAGGGAGCCCTGGACAGTTTCTGTCCCAGGGATGGGATCCTGGGCCCACCGACATGACCTGCTTGCCCCTGCCAAGTATACCTGCAGCCCAGCCCCCAGGGGCGAGCAGAGTGGGACAGCAGCCACTGCAGTGCCCCCAAGTGCATGGCCAGGAGGAATGGGGCTTGTGGCCCAGGGGCACCCTTTGTGGTGACCCTTGGCTCCCCAGATGCCAAACGCCACGTTGTCCCTGTGTCACCTTTCCTTCTCCCACGTCCTCCCTCCTCTCTCTGGGACTCTGACGCAGGGCGTCCTAAGGGCCAGTGCCCTCGCTGGGTCCAGACTGCACAGAGAGGAAAGACAGGCTTGTCCAGTGCCCCTCGTCACGCCAACGTCCAGTCAGGGTCCCTCCTGCTCGGCCCTTTCCCGGGAGGGACGGAGCGTCAGGCTGAGCCCCCAGGAGGCCGCATCTCACCCCGACTCTGGGCATCTCCCGCTGGAGGAGGCTCAGTCCTTTTCTTCATCTTTTAAAAATGGTGGTAAAATACAGAAAACAAAATTTATCATTAGTGATATTTGGTATCTTCAGGATCTGCAATCATCGCCTCTATCCAATTCCAAATCATTTCATCGCCACAAGAAAGAAACCATGGCTGCCAGGGGCTGGGAGCCGTCGGGGGTTAAAGATCGGTGGGGATTTTCGCCGATCGGTCCTTAACCCCCGACGGCTCCCAGCCCCCGGCAACCACGAATCCACTCTTTTGTCCCTGTGGATCTGCCCTTTCTGGACGTGCCACACAAATGGAATCACACCCAGTGCGGCCTGTGTGTCTGGCATCTCTCACTGAGCGTCGCGTGTTCCAGGTCCCTCCACACTGGCCAGCGTCGGCTGTCGGTGCGTCGCTCCTTGTCCTGGCTGAGTGATGCTCCCGCGTGTGGATGGGATCACACTGTGTTCGTCTCACTGTCTGACAGACACGGTGGAGCACTCGCCTCTGGCTGTTATGGATGTGCCCCTGTGAACACGCACCTGTCAGCCTCTTCTTACCTTTTCTCTCTCATCCTTGACACTCAGGTCTCCAAAGCCTCATCGGAACTGATGAGTTACTGTGAGCAGCACGCCCGGAATGACCCGCTGCTGGTCGGTGTCCCGGCCTCTGAGAACCCCTTCAAGGACAAGAAGCCTTGTGTCATTCTATAGCGTGGTTTTCCTGTGTTCTCTCTCTCCCCCTCCCTCTTCCTTTCTCTCGCTCTGTCAGGGCATCATTCAGTGCATAGTTGAAGCAAAGTATTTCGGGTCCCTGAAACTTCTAATGCCAAAAGAAATGTAAAACATTGCCAGTGCCCAGATGGTGTAAAATATACCCACTGGGCAATAATGGGCGGGCGTTCAGACCAAATAGCGCAGCCCTCAGGGCCGGGCCGAAAGACCGATGCCGGCGGCACAGCCACGTCCATCTAGGAAGAGCTGAGACACCCAGACTGTGTGGCCACCATCTTTCAAACCGTCACTTGCCATTTGAGCTGAGGTCCAGAGACGGTCGGGAGAAGGGAGGGCAGGGGGCGCTGGCCGCCGGCCCCAGACGACCTGGGCGACCTGGCCGGCCAGCTGTTCTTGCGCAGCTGGCCACTTGTGAAAAAGACTTCTGCTCCAGAGCTTTTTTAAAAGTAAAGTAAAATTTGGGGGTAGGGGTTCATAATGAGCTTTTTGGGGAAAATATTTTCATTTAAATAATTGTTATCCCGTACCGCTAAAATCAGATTCCGATGGCTGGGCGCGTGGCCGGGCTGTGCTGTGCGATGGTGCGCAGGTGAAGTTCCAGGGCCGGGAGGGGGCTCCGCGCAGGAAACGCACCCGTGTCACCCAGTGTCACCCTACTGTACGGCGTTTGTGCAGCATGTGCCGCTGCACTGCCATGTGCGGCCCTGCCCTTTCCCAGGGATCCCACTCATCCCAGAAACAGATTCACTGCAACTCGCCCCGGCCCCTGGAATAGCCCCTGGGTTTTACTTCCTTTCCAGCACATGACCTTGACGTGGGCATTGAGGGGCTGTGGCCATACTCTTATCAAACCCGTCTCTCTGGGGGTTTGGTTTGGTTTGGTTTTTCTCCACTTGCATTTATCCCGATGGCCACTGTCCACGCAGAGCTGCACCCTGGCGGCAGGGCCACCTGATGCAGTGTGAAAAGGCATCTGATGGCCGCAGCATCCGCAAGGCCTCAGAGGCTCTCTCTCCGCTTTTGTGCCCCTTCAACCCCGCGCTGTGGCTGGAGGAAGCCTGAGGCCTGTTGGTCCAGTCCATCACTCTTCCCAACAGCCTTGGGAACTCGATACGTCGGGGGGTCAGGGGTTCGGCGCAGGAGGCCTTTTTTTAAAATTATTTTTTCCTTTGTTACAACATGGACAGTTAAAGGAACAAGAGCATAGGGCCAAACGAACTTCCCTCCCCTCTGCCAGTGCCACCCGAGGCTACCAGGACGCCACACGGCCCTGAACTCGGGTCCCACCTGTCCAGTCCTGGAGCAGCAGGCAAACTGTGGGAAGAAACGAGCCGAGCTCTGCTCCTGTGGCCTCAGTGGACGTCAGAGCCCGAGGCCCACGCCAGTGGAGTCCTGGACAGCTGCCAGGCTGGGGCCCTCACCTCACAGCCAGGGTCAAGGCTTAAATCTTGCCAGAGTTAAGAAGGCTCCAGTGCATGACCCTCCATCCAGCTCCCACAGAGTATAGGCTAGCAGGCTGAGTCTTTCTCCCCAGCACCCAGCTCTCCCCAGCTGGTCTGGGAGCACCAGGGGCTCTGGGGAGCCCGGCACCTCCAGACCTGCTGTTGGTCAGGGAAAGCCATGGAGGCTCCCAGGCTGCACCCGCCTTTCACTGGGCAGGGAGCCCGCACCACCCTGAGCCTCTCTCACTGTCCCCAGCAGGATGGGACAAACCCTCTTCTAGGGCCTGGTGGGAGTTCACCCCAAAAGGGCAAGGAGTGGGTAGCAGGACAAGCCTCTGTGGCGGAAGCCGTAACCCTCTGAGCCTGCATCAGGTCCTCTCCTGTGACCCCCACTGACCAGCCACGGGTCCCCAAACAAGGCGGGGGGTCCTGCTCTCAGCACCAGGAGCACCCCAGGCTCCCAGACCTCACCTCTGTCTCCGAAACCCCCCACCCTGCCAGCCATTCCAAGCCCAGCCCCACCTTGTGTCCCCCACTCAAATGGGACTGGAGAAGCCAGCAGGGAGACAGTCGAGGACCCCTGGCTGAGGGAGGTGGGACTGAACCCCACTTCACCAGCTCTGTGACCTGCTATGGGCTCAGCCTGCCAACATGTTCCCCCCCACCCCCAGCTCCGTAACAAGCTCCATCCTGGGCCTGGGGAGGCTTCTGGGTCAGAAAACCCAGGGACTGAGTGGTCCAGGTAAACAGAGGCCCTGAGCAATGGTGAGGACAGTGGGTTTCCCACCTTATTGCTGCACCTGCTCAGCTGCCCACTCTAGGTGCCCACAGCCTCAGACCCCAGGGATGTGGTGATCGGCAGAACCCCCTCTGCGGTTTTCTTTCCAGCCGAGGAGGGGCAAGTGAGAAAACGCCTTTTTTTCCCCCTATTTACAGTAAAACTCACTGTGCATAGTGTAGACCTACAGCATCAGTGCACTTAAAACATGTGCTGCTTGTGCGTTCCTGGCACGAGTATCCACCCTGAAAATGTGATTTTTAAGGGTTTGGGGACTAGAATTGCCCCGTGCATCAGGGACCCGTGGTGGTGGCAGCATAGGCCTTGAGGAGACCAGCATCTCTAACTGTGTCGTGGCAGAAAAGATGAAGGACATGTACACAGAAGGTGGGCGTGAAGTGCGACGTCTCCCTGTGTTCTGCATTCCGGGGCAGCGTTTCTGGCAGGCTGGCCTGTCTGGCCCCCACTCCAGGGAAGAGTTAGAACATGTGTCCCTGCCCCATCCTCCCAATGGTGACTCCCAGACCAGGAATGAAGTGGCTCGGTTGTGACCTCCAGCCCCGGGGAAGGTAGACCTACTGGGCTAGGAGGAAGGTGCTGTCTGGCTGGCTTTAGTGTCCCTGCCTCTGGTCCAGGGCGGCTGTGGGCCTCCAGGCAGCTCGTCCACCAGGGGAAGAGCCCCAGCCCTGCCGGAGCAGGACAAGGCCCCCGTTCTGCAGATTCTCGCCCCAAGCATGAATGACCAGGGGTACTTTGGTGGCTGAAGTGAGGCCACCAAAAGTCACTCATCCTTCAGGAGCACTTAAAAAGAGCCAGCCTGCCACGGGGTCCCCTGAAAACAAGCCATACGTCGGACATGCTGCCCTCCTCCTCCTCTGTCCACGGAACCCATTGCCAAATGTTACGAGATTTGTTCCTGGTTTGCAGAAGCAGTCTATGGTTCTGGCAGGTTCTAGCCCACCTGCCTTTGGATGTCTAGTGGTTTTTATTTCTGATTTTAAAAAAAAATTCCAGGTGTGCCACACCCACTTTCTCACAGTGTTTTAATATTGTGTGGAATTGTCAATACAAAGTGAATTAATCCACAATAAAAAGGCTCACGGCTCCTTGTCTTCAGCTCTGGGCCCTTCTCTCTCCCTGGGCACTGCCGGTTGGGTGGGGGTTGCCCCACATTATTCCCGCCCCTCTCACCTGCCCCCAGCAAGAGATAGCATGAGTGGAACCCACTTGGGGCAGCAACACTCACAAATGGCACTCAGCTTGGATGCGCTTTGCGATTTGCAGCTAGAAAATTTAGGGGGAGAAGCTATTTGCATGGCTGGAGCTGTGTGCTCCACGGATTGGGAGTGTCTGGCATGGCCCCTTGGGAAGGGCCTCCATCTTTGAAGAGCTTGAAGCTGGGAAGATCTTCATCTTACCCCTACTCACCAGTCACCCAGGGACCACCCCCAGCACCAGGCTCCGGGGAAGTCCATGAGTGGTAGCTCAACTTACACCATGCCACGGAGAGGTACATTTTTAATAATAAGCCTTCAACTGGCTGCTTTCGACCACCTAAGTAGAGAAGAACTTTCTCTGTATAAAACATTTATAAAGTCAACCACGTAAAGATTGTCTCCTGTGTATCAGAAAGAGTGTAAGATTAGAAGGCACTTCAAACCCTAAACAAAATTACCACACAACCCGGCATGTCCCACTTCTGGGTGTGTTCTCACGAAGTCACTGAAAGCAGGGACTCAGGTGTTTGGACCCCTGGTTCACAGCAGCCAAGGTGGACACAGCCCAGGTGTCTGGGCACGTGAATGGACCATCACAGTGTGGCTGAGCCTTGCGGACATCATGCTCAGTGACATAAGGGCAAACACTGTGTGTTCCACTCATGAGAAGGTCCCTGGAGGAGTCAGACCCATAAAGGCAGAAGACGGGCGGGGGCCAGGGGACAGAGGAGGGGCTGGGGAAGGTATTTACCAGGATAGAGTGTCTGTTTGGGAAGCTGAGGAAGTTCTGGAGATGGGTTGCAGAAAAGAGGGATGTATAAGGGGATTCAGTGGGAATGAGAAAAGTACAATTAAAAAATTGAGAAAGAAAGTTCTGGAAATGGATGGTGGAGATGGTTGTCTGACCTTGTGAGTGTACGTAACACCACAAATTGTACCCTGAATGGCGAACACACTGAGTTTCGTGTTACGTACATTTTACCAGAAAAAGGAAAAAACGTACAACCTCACCCACTGTTCACCTGAAGGGCTAAAATTTAGAAGATTGGTGTCGCTGAGGGTATGGAGCAACCTGGGTTCAGAGCTTATCGCTGGGAGTGCGAAATGCTTTAAGCACTTTGGGGAATGGTCTGGCAGTTTCCTATAAAACTAAACACCCTCCCCTCAATGACTTGGCAGTTCCACTTGTTCTTAAGAGAAAACAAAACATCTCTACAGCCCTGGCTGGTGTAGCTCAGTGGGCTGAGCGCTGGCTGCAAACCGAAGGGTCGCTGGTTCAATTCCCAGTCAGGGCACATGCCTGGGTTGCAGGCCAGGTTCCCAGTACAGGGGCCACATGAGAGAAAACCACACATTGATGTTTTTCTCCCTCTCTTCCTTCCTCCCCCTCTATAATGGATAAAATCTTTTTTAAAAACAACAAAAGCACATGTATACAGAGTCTTGGAAGGAGTATATTCAAGCAGCTCCTCTCATAATAGTCAAACTCTGGGAACATCGCAGGTGTGCAGGAACACGTGAATGCATGAACAACTGGTGGCCCATTCACACCCTGAACCCCACCCGGCGTGGAACAGAATAAACTGATACTAAAAGCAATAATCTGAGTGACTCAGAGACTTCGCACCGACCAGACCGGCCTTGGGGCGAGGAGAGCAGAGGGATTCCGCTCACAGAGCGTCCGGCCGGGCGAGCCGTGCTCTGGCTGCGCTGTCAGAAGAACGACCCCAAACTCGCCCACAGCCCATTGTCCAAATTGGCCAGTGCCCGAGGCCGTGTCATTTCAAATGGGGTAAATGGGACTTTGCAAATGGGATCAAGTCAAGGACCCTGAGGTGGGGACAATCCTACATTCACCGGCGGGCCCGGTGTTTTTGAAGGGTCCTCACAGGAGGGCGGCAGGAGGGTCAGAGTCAGAGACGGCAGAGGCCGAGCTGCTGGCTGTGAAGAGGGAGGGACCGCGAGCCAGGGATGCGGCGCCTCTAGGAGCTGGAAATTGCTGGGAATAAGTGAAAGAAGCCAGTCTGAGAAACCTGTGCTGTATGACTCCCAACACCATGACATTCTGGAAAAAAGCAAACTATGGAGATGGTAAAAAATACAGAGTTCGGAGAAAGATGAATAGGGGAGCACGGAGTATTTTCTGGGACAGTGACGCTTAGATAGGACACCGTCGTGGTGGAGATGTGACATTACCCTCTTGACAAGACCACAGAGAGCAGTGAGCCTGTTGTACACGGGGCCTGGGCCGCGTGCAGTGTGGGGTACGGACGCCCAGCCCTCACCACGCAGGGGGGCGGCGTTGATGGGACGGAGGGGGTGACTGTACCCCACACCGGGCGGGAGCGGCGCCCAGATGAAGGGAGCAAACAAATTCAAAATGGTCCTCAGCGTGGTCATTACACAAACCCAGGGCACCAGTATTATGTCTAGAATCTTCCCTTCAATTAGTTCGTTGAAATCAAAAGGGGAAACATGGCAAATGCTGAGTCACGGAGCCTCCGTAGGACCAGCTGCAGAATTAGCAGGCCCCCTGTTCAACAGTTAAGAATTTCCAGGGATGTAAGATACAGCATAGGGAATAGAGTCAATAATAACGTAATAAGTATGTGTGGTGCCAGGTGGGTACTGGACTCAATGGGGAATCACTTTGTAAGTTACATAAATGTCTGATCACTATGCTGTACACCTGAAACGAATATACTATGGCATGTCAACTGTACCTGAAATTTTCTTTTTAATTAAGAATTTCAAGCCTTGGCCAGTGTGGCTCAGTTCGTTGGAGCAATGTCCTGTAAGCCGTAGGGTCACAGGTTTGATTCCCAGCCAGGGCACATGCCTAGGTTACAGGCTTGGTTGGGCTCGTAGGTGAGACAAACCAACCCATGTTTCTCATGTCCATGTCTCACTCTCTCCCTCCCCTCCCCTCTCTCTAGGACCAATGAGCATGTCCTCAGGTAGCATTTTTTTTTTTAATTTCAAGATGGCAACAGAAGAGCATTAAACCCAGGTGACTGCACAGGCCCTGCACCCGCAAAGCCAGCCCCGCCTCTCCACGCAGGGACTGGGGAGAATGAAGGAACCTGTGACCCTCCTTGCATTTGCAACCAGCTTTTCTTTTTCTTTTTCTTTTTTTTTAAGATTTTATTTCTTTTTCTAGAGAGAGGGTAAGGGAAGGAGGAAGAGAGAGAGAGAAACACTGATGTGCTAGGGAAACATCGATCAGTTGCTTCTCACACTCCTCCCCAGGGACCTGGCCCTCCACCCAGGCATGTGCCCTGACCAGGAAACAAACCGGTGACCTTTGGGATTGCAGGCCTGCGCCCACTGATCCATAGCAGCCAGGGCTGCAACCAGCTTTTCAAGAAATGCAATGCAAAAAAAATGTTCACTGACCTTCAGCTGTACTTCACGAATTCCCTTTGCTCAGGAGGTGGTATAAATTAAAAAATAATCCTATGTGCCTTTCAAATGAAAACAACTGCATTTATGAAAGCAAGAGGCTAACTTTTAACTCAGGGTCGCTTTTTTTTTTAAGATTTTATTTATTTATTTTTAGAGGAGAAGGGAAGGAGAGGGGGAGAGAAACATCAATGTATGGTTGCCTCTTGTGCGTCCCCTGATGGGAACTGGCCTGCAACCAGGCATGTGCCCTGACTGGGAATCAAACCGTGGTTGTTTGGTTCGCAGGCCTGCACTCAATCCACTGAGCTACACCAGCCAGGGCTCAGGGTCGCTTTTTAAAGATGTTCAGATACAACTATCACATCGCAGCAGCATTCACAGCCGGGTCGGTTAGCGCAGCGGCTGTTGGAGCGCAGCACCTTTTAATTTGTGAACACACAGTACTGAACCATGCAGAACGGGGTGTGAACGTGGGGTGAGACCACCGAATGAAGATCCAGATCTGTACTCAATTCTGTAACTGGCTGTCAAGCCTCTTGAGGCTCTTCTGCTCTGCTCAGAAGAAATGATACGGGAAGGACACAGATGGACAAGATTGAAATACCACAGTTGTCACACAGTTTTAAATCTGGGTCCCGTTACAGGACCACACCGCCTGCAGGGCACGAAGAACTTCTATTTTTATAAATCTTGTCATTGCTTCGCAAATAGTGTATTATACCTTTTCTTCTGACAGTCTGTATTTCTTCTTCTACAATTTCTTCATTCCATTTCGGTGTTTCTTCCTCTTCTTCTTTGAAGTACATTTTAAAATCTCCATAAGTGGAACCAGCCCGGCCTCCCTGTGACCTTCAGCAAGTCGCTGTGACTGGTGCTGATTTCAGAGCCGAAAGCTGGGACGAAAAGCATCCAGTGAGACCTTCCGGGGTTTCGTATAATGATAAAAGGCACAATTCACAACCAAGGCAGAAACCCGCATTAATAATACTGCATCCGAATGTCAACACTCCGGACCACAGAAGACTGGCCCTAGAGTCCTCTCATTAGCTCCACAACTTGGAAGCCATCGCCCTACAAAAGGAAGTGCAGTAAACCAACACAAGCACCTGTGCTGCAGTTGCAGGGGCAGGTTGGGTTCTCTGGGAAGCAGGTATGCTCATGAGAGAAGACTCTGGGAATGGAAACGTGTGGAAGGGAGGGGAGGGGCCTCAGGCTGGGGGGGGGGGGGGGGGGGGGGATGCAGGCCTTTATACCTCCATCTTGATCAGCCACTGGATGGGCTGCTCCAGAGCAGTGACCTTGGGCCAGGATGCTCTCTGCAGCGGAAGCAATTCCTGCAGGGACTGACAGCGGGAGGATGTCCCCTGAGAACACTCCCAGAAGCCGGGACAAGTCGTCCTCCTTAAAGGAATGCGGGCAGCACATCCCCACAGCCAGTGGACCCGTCCGTCCATCCTTAGCTCCCACAGTTGACACTGTCCCACACACGAACAC